TGTTTTCACCTTCTACCTTCCCCCACAGCCAAGCACCAATGCTGCTACCAAGTGGTTGTCTAGTTTCTACTTGAATGCTTCCTGTGACTGAGAACTCACTACTTCGAATAGCCAGCCATTCAAAAAAAAATATTTACTCATGCTGTCTTTCATTCTGCCCCCAAACATTAACACAGTTCTCCAATCCCACATTTAAAATGTTATGAGAAATACTATCATAACAGATTTTTCTACTTGCTGGGAAAACCTGAAGGCTAAAAACCAACTCTTATTACACTTTTAAAATATGAGTAGCTAACACGTATTAAATACCTACAACAGGCCAGCTCTGTGCCTTTTGCAGATATCAACTCGTAACGAGTATTAAATACTCAGGGTGATTTCACTATTACTCCCATCTCACAGCTGTAGCAACTGAGGCACAAATGGATTTAGTCCACCTTTCAAGGTTATACAGTTACTAACAATGACTTAAATTCATGTCCTCCTGGCCACTGTGCTACACAGAAGTCACGGCAAGTGGAGTTGGTGTCCTGCTGTCATGGCCTGGTCACAGCTGGGCCACTCTCTGGATGAGGAAGTTTAACCAAGTCAGCCTGGTCAACTGGTCTAGACATTTGTAAGAAACGCCCCCGATTCTCTTCCCTTTTACCTTCACCTTTGAGTTTAAGACAAGGATAGGAAAGATGTGCCTGCCTTTGGAGACACAGAAGAAAAAAGACAGGAAATTATCCCACTCTCCTTGTCTGCATTCTTTACCAAGAATACAGTGGTTTCGTCTTCTCGAATCTTGGCTCTGCCATCTCTTGGCTGTTTCCTCGGACAAGTTATTTAAATTTCCTGACTTAGCTTTTTTTATTTGTTTGTTTGTCCCCAGTAAGAATCCCAGGGCTTTTACTCCATCAGCCATCTCCAGCGTGTCAATTAGAAATAGGGTCCCCCAGGTTAGCAGGTCTTCACAGTGCTCCCCAGCAGCTTACCACTGTACTCAACGGATCAGTGAAAAAAACAGCCTGCTTATTTATTCATAACGGCTTTGGTCCTATTTTCAACCATTTAAAATTTAAACCTAAAGTTTGGGTTCACGCTATGATCTTGGGTTGGGTTCTTTTTTAGAAAATTGATTCTGGGTAACAGGGTTCGTTCAGACAGACTTAACCTGTGACAGAATGATTAGCACAACAGAATATTCTTGAAGAGAACAAATATTTTATTAACTTCATTTATCATTCATATTCACAAAACCATGGGTTTCTGAAATACAATTAAAAATATTGTTATTACTAATGCAAGTCTGTGGTGACGAGAGATCTTTTTTTAGTAATGTGAGAAGTAGATGTCATATAGGCCTTAAAATTAATTTTTGTATTTTATTTCCAGTTCGAATTCTTTTGCAACTTCCTTTAAGAAAATTGTCTACAGAGAATATGATGCAAATTTTCAGCAGGAAAAACCACAATCTAGAAATTCAGGTAAGCCTGAAATATATATTTTAATTTGAAGATAAATCTCTATGGATAATTTGATATTTATATAGAAAATATCCATTTGGTGATATTGTGTAGAAATGTGTGCTTTTGTTGTTTTTAACCAGCGCAGGCTACATAATTTGTGGGGCCCCATGCAAAATGAAAATGTGGGGGCCCCGTATTCATAGTATTGAGAATTTCAGACCCATGACAGAAAAACACTGAGCTGAGCAGGAGACCCAATGCAATTACACAGGTCACAGGTCACAGGTCACATGCCCATGAAGCCAGCTGTTTTTAACGCGATCAAGAAGCTAAAAAAAAAAACCACCACTTTTAAGTGTTTGAATTTGTAGTCCATCTAATAACCTACTGTTGAGCACATGCTATTGGCTGGGCATTGAACCAGGTTCTGTGGACACATGAGAGACGAGACGGACTCCTATCCGGCCTCGTCGGAGCTTCTGGTCTAGTTTCGTGAGTCCAACTGAGCCTCCACGCGTGATCGTTTGCTTCCATCTGGCCCCCTAGACGCGTGCAAAAGAGCAGCATATGGCCGATTCTTTTGCGTCTATCGTTTCCATCCCTTCTTCTGTTTTATTTAGTGTGATGTGCGCAACAGTTACCATTTCTAAAGAAAGATCTCTTCTTTTTTCCCCATCTCTTCTTTAATCAAGGAATATAGGTTGAATGGGCTAGGGGATCTTAAACACGATACCATATTCCACAGAAATGGTAGAGGCCATTGAGAGAGAACTCCCTCCACTTGGGTGCCCTGGTCAACATAACTCCCTCCCCCATCCCCATAGCCAGGTAAAGACCTGTCATCTGTGCCCGACTCCCCCGCCCCCTCGGCTCATTCTGTCACGCCTCCTCTGCTCCCTGAGTCTCCAGTCTTACCCTGACCGGAGCCTTCCCTTCAGTCAAAAGTCAACACCAATAAAACAGAATAGCTGTGTTCAGGTCAACCTCTATCTAGACAAAATCTCCCCTTGACTCTGCCTGCCTTTCCTGTTTCTCTCCTTTCCTTCACTACCAATTTCCCATGCGAATGGTCCATTTCATTCTCTGTCTTATCCTTTCCTCTCCGTAATCTGCTCTAATATGAGCCCACTGAAATTACTCTCAGAAGAGGGCGTCCATGACTGCCTAGGAGCCAGAGCCAATGGCTTCTTCGCAGGTCTTTGCCGACGCGACATTACTGGGACATTTAATGCTCCCCCTTCGTGAAACTCTCTCTTAACCTGCTTTCCCTGGTGTCGTGTCCCCTGGAGAATCGAAGTGGAGTGGAAGTGAATGGAGATAAGGAAACGGAAGCAGGAGGAACTTACAGATATTAATAACTTCTTCCTGCAACTTGGAGACAGGGTAGTCCTGGAAGGGAACAGAGGTTTAAGGGTATTTTGGAGTTTTTAGAAAAATAAGAATACAGTGGCTTAAAACATCCAAGTGCCCGAGGAAGAATGTAATAGAAAAGGAGAGGGTAAACACACCTGAGAGAGAATCATTGATGGAGCCGAGGGCAGAGGAACCAGGAAGTGATGGGATTAAAGCCTGAGCTGGGTCAGCCTGAGGCAGAAGAGACAGGACCTTCGCTGGGGGCCAGGGGAGGGGATGTGGCAGGAAGGTCACTAATAAAATTCAGTTTGTCATTGCGGGCTGGGACTTAAAGGATCTCCTGTCCTGTGTCACAATCTATTCATTTTCAAAGCTCCACCTCCAAGTTTAGTATAATAGATACTTAAGAACTAACAAATTAATTTGTAGGTGGGGGTGAAGGTAAAATGAGCCAGGAAACACATTCATTAGCCCTGGGAAAAGAGGAACTGGGCAGGCATTTAGAGCCCTGCCTATTGTGGCTTTTGCCAAGCCAACTGAATTTGAATGTCTGTGCTGTGTAAGCCATTGTGCAGGCTGCCTGCCCTGAGTGACAGACAGGACCAGTGCCAGGCTGGAGACGATTTGGTAAGCAGTAAGGAGGAATTGCTAGTTTGGGGGAGGAGAGAGCTGTGATCCAAATCCTTTCAGATGATAAACTTTGGTAGTGATTTCTGATTCAGCCTCGTTAATTAGAAGGAAACCTTGACAGTTGATTTATGGTTAAGCCCTGTGCACCTAAAACATTACAAAATTTCTACATCGTAACAGATTTGGTTTATGTGAACGCTGCAGCATATCACAGCCATCTGTATGCAGCCTCTCCCCAAACTCCCAAAGGTGCTTACCTAGGACCCCCTGGAGGGCAGGGCTGGTATCTTATTCTTGTTTGTACCTGGAGAGCAGATGAGACAAGGCGGCAAGTCAGGTGGACAGAAAAAGCCTAGGATGCGGGATGGGACACTGCCACTGACTGTGGGCTCTCCCCCACTCCCCAGCCTTGCTCTGGGTCACAGGTACCGTCTCCGCTTCCCAGCCCCCTCATCTGGTGTGGATGATTGTACCTGAGCCTGGGAAGTCACGTGCCCACCTGGGGCACAGGAGCCCAGGCCTCACTGTAATTGTGGGTGGGGCTAGGCGGCAGGACTGGGGGTCTGAAGACGGAGGCCTGTCCAGTGAGGCTGGTGGACATGCGAACAGGTGGGCAGACTGCGCTCATTTTTGGACCCTGTCTTGGGCTTTAAAATGGCTGGTTTTGAGTCACTGCATCTTTTCAAGGAAAATTATGAAATGTTTGTCTCTGAAGGAGTTTCTCAAAAGCTGCAACAATGAGTTGTCGCATGTTCTGTGACACATAGTCCCCTCAGCACAGGGGACTGGATTAGCTGACCTCCTGCAGCCTTTACCAACTCCAAACCCTATGAAACTGGGTACACGCTGTGCTACCTTCCTGGGCACCCAATGTAGGCCACTCCTTCCCCAGTTTGGCTCTGGGCCTTGGGGACAGGGTAGGAAAGGCCTTAGGGCATCTGACTGATGGAGGAGATGAACAGCAGCTCAAACAACATCCTGCCACGTGTTTACCTTCATGCGTGAAGGTATTTGATTTGCATTTATGAAAACATTCCTTTGTTTTGCCTTTATTCTGAAGAAGCAGAAAGGGAGGCCAAATAATACCCCCAAACATTCACTGCAGTAAGAGGTCTTATTAGGTTAGGTAACTTGGAAGCCTTATTCTGGGCATCTGGCATTTGCAGCCCTGTGATGCCAACCAATGAACCAAGCAAGGCAACATGGCGGCCGACGCAGGGCACATTGTGACAGCAAAGTCAGCACCCTGCTGGGCTCATGGCACCCCGGGCAGGTGGGAGAGGCCAGCGGGAGCTTCCCTGGGAGCTAGGACTGAGCGGAGCAGCCAGGAGAGAGGGGGCAGCCCAAGGAATCAGATGTGGGCAGGATTCAGAAATGGTGTAGATATTGGGGCTATTCCAGGAAAAGGGGGGTCTGAACCCGCCCTGCAGGAAGTGGTAGAGAAAGCTCTGGTTCAGGAGTTCAGAGACCTGAGTTCCAGTCCCAGCAACGCCACCCAATCACTGACTGGCCTGGGGCAAGACACCCTCCTGCTCTGTTCATAAGCGTTAGAAAGCCAGAGAGAGCACGTGTTTCACTCACCACTGCAATCCTGACCCCTAGGATAACATGGGCCTCAGTTAGTATGTGTTGAATGAATAAATGCATGACCACAAGGTGCAATACACAGAGGTGGTGAGAAGCTAGGATCTAGAGTCAGACAGACTTAAGTTTAAATCATGGGTCTGCCTCTTCATTAGCTGCACAGTATTGGGCGAGATGTTCAAACTCTCTGAGGACCAGCTTCCTGGTCTGTAAAATGAGGATCATAACATCGATCTCAAAGGTTTGTTGGGAGGATTACTATAAGAATCTACAGTGCTCAAATATATAAGAGGGACCATTTATTATAACTATCGTCACCACTGCCAACGAACGCCGGGCAAACAGCCATGACTGCTGTAACCTTCTGCTCCTGTGACTCTTACAGGGCAGAGCTGACGGACGGGTTGGGAGCGGGGCCGTCAGCTCCATCACTTGTCTTTGGTGACAGGTCCTCAAGCTTTAAAGGACCTCAGCATCACTCAGGAACACATGCTCACAACGCAGCTTCCTCAGCTCCACCTGCAGAGACTTGGGTTCACTGGGTCTGGGGGCCTGGGCCTTTCGGTTGGACCCCAGGTGATTCTGATGCAGAGAACACAAGGGCCACACTTTGGGAAATTCACAATATGATTCTTCCAAACTCTGACTTAGATACCAGCTCTTCCCCCGACTCCCCAGGCGGAACTAGACCCATCGTCTCTGCCCCGCTAGCATTCTGCCCGTAGCCCAGCAGAAGCTCCCCCCGTGTCTATCTCCAAGTAGCTGCTGAGCTCCTTGAGGACAAGGACTGTGGCTGTTTATCCCTGTGGCCCCAGGACCTAGCACAGCACCTGGCATGCAGGAGGCGAAATTTCCCGCTGAGCTTCTGCACCCCTCACCAGCTGTCCCCGCTGCGCTCCCCACTGAAGTAACTGATAACATTATTTACCCAGTTGCTCAGATCGAAAACCTCGGGGTCATCCTTTACTTGTCACTCTCACATTTGTCAGCAAATCCTGCTGGCTCTACTGTCAACATGTCCAGAATCCAGCTTCACTGGCCCCGTATCCCACCGTCTGGCCTACACAGTCTCAAGGCTTCTGCGCTTGTCCCCGCATAGCAGCTAGGATGAACCTTTTGTCTTTTCTTTTTTTTTTTTCGGATGAACTCTTAAAATGCAGAGTCCTGACTGTGGAAGGGAGGGCCGTACGTGGACTGCCTCCACCCCTGTCTCCTCTGACTCTGCCCAGGCTGTGTCTCTTAGTGTCCAAGGGATGCCTCGAGCTCACTCCTGCCTCAGGGACTTTGAGCTTGCCTCCGGGCCAGAGAACTGGGTGATGTGCCCCCTCACTTGGTTTAGGGCCCTGAGGTCACCCACCTCAGAGAGATGTACAGTAGCCAGTCACCCTCCCTCACAGCACCCTGTACAATAGGAAGTGTGCATCCTTCTTTCTTTGACCAAAGACGGTAGATACGTAGTCTCTGTGGAAAGACAGTGGGTCAGCGTGGGGTGGACGCTGTCAGAATATTCCTCCTACTCTCTTGACTTGCTTTGGCCCAAGCCAAGTGTTTTTACCTTCCTGTCCTTATCTGACTGCAGGGAATATAGAGTTAATGAGCTGGCAAAACCTTCTAGATTGAAAATGAGCATGTGGACCTCAGAACTTGGAGGGATGGCAGCAATTTGCTCCGGTGGTTTTCTGCAGGGGGTTTTTTGCTTGTTTTGCTTAGCAGCCCTGTCTTCGTTAATCCTGACATTTGTTACATCTTTGCTTCCATAGGACTTCTTGGGCCTACTTTATACGCTGAAGTTGGAGACATCATGCGAGTTCACTTTAAAAATAAGGCCAACAAGCCCCTAAGCATCCACCCGCAAGGAATTAAGTACAATAAATTCTCAGAAGGTAAGAGAATTTCATATCCCTCTGATAAGTAACGTGCAACTCTTTGATACCAGGGTCAAACACTTAAAACCATATTATTGGCCACATGTCAGAGAGCTCTCCCTTCCTGCAACGAATAGTTATAAAAATTGTTAGCTTTGTAAGTTTCAGGGAGGAAAATGAGAATGTTCTGGAATCACCTATACCTCAGTTTTTCGCTAGGTTCTTGTTCATTAATAGTTGGATGGGCAAGTTACCTAATTTCTCTGAATGCCAGTATGTTCATCTGTAACATGAGAATAATCATACACACACTGCAAGATGGTTTAAGGCAGGAGGCTGCAAACTTTCCTGTGAAGAACCAGAAAGTAAATACTTTTGGTTTTGTGGGCCAAGGGGTCTCTATTGCAACTACTCAATTCTACCATTTAGTACAAAAGCAGCCAAAGGCAATATATATGTAAATGAGCGAGCATAGCTGCATGCCAATAACACTTTATTTACACAGAAAAGGGAGATGGCTGGACTTGGACCGCCAGCCATCATTTGAAATGGTAACATAGGACGCGCCTGACATGGGGCTAGCCTGGCACATAGATGACACGTAATAAGTAGTATTAAAATGTGGGACATAGTGAAGCGGTTAAGAACACAAGCTTTGAAGGCAGACTTAGGTTCAAATTCCAGCAGTCTCATTGCTGGTTCTGTAACTTTAGCATCCCTGAGCCTCAGTTTTCTCCTCTGTAAAGTGGGAATGGTTATCCCCATGCCATAAGGTGGCTTTGAGATGAAATGAGGTCATTTAATACTAAGCATGGCTCCTGGAACCTGGTAAGCCCTCGATCAGTGATGACAACAACGATGATGGTGATGATCATGATGACAATGACAGCAAGACCGTGAAGATGATGGTGATAAAAGTGACCACATCAGCCACAGGACAATCAGCGCCGCTGTTGACACTGTTCTGATTATTTCCATTATGCTGATTGACAATAAGCAAAGCAGAGTTCTGCGAGGAAGTGATGTAAGAAAACTGTGTCCATATTGTAATGCATGTTGGTATAATAACATTTAAAAATAACTTGAGGCCTTGCACGATTCACCAATCTTCCTTCTGCCGTATGTTCTAGCCATCACATCTTTGAAGAGAGTAACTGAGTAGGAGAGTGGTTTACAGGGCGGGTTCTGGAACTAGGCTGCTCAGCGCAAACCCTGCCTCAGACACTTAACGAACTGTGACCACTTAACCTCTCAGCTTCACCTTCCTCATCTGTAAAATGGGCATAACAATCATACCTACCTTATATAGGTTTGCAGTCGTGAAAACTTAGAACAATGCCTAGCATATAATCAGCACTCGACAAATATGAGCTACGATGGCAAAGGTGGTTCTTCAATCAAAATGTGTTCCAATTATAATGTTATATATCAGTTACATCCCAATTAACATGTTTTTCAAGGTTTTCAAATAATGTGATATTTGTCTGACAATTTATGGATTAGAAAGTGACTTGGACATTTATTATTTCCTGTGTAAATTCCTGTGAAACTCATTCTGACTGAGATATATGTGGCTGGTAATAGGTCAGTGACCTGCCTTCCCCCCCGGAGTGTTTGTGTTAGAACTTAAGCTTTGCTTTGAGGAAACAATGGAGCATTATCTGTGACATTTCAGGCATCTTAAAGAGCCAATCTGTCACACTCTGGGTGAGACAGCATGCGCAGGAGTCTTTCCCACAGTCCTAAAGTCATACGGTGACACAGAATAAGCACTTCACCCACTTAGGGCCCCCCCAGGTGACAGTATCAGGAATTTAGCCCCGCGGTGCCAGAGGGAAGAGCCCTCAACATGTGCCATGCAGGTTCCATTCCAAATGTGGACTTTGTATCGCAAGCTGGGCTGTTTGCACAGGAAGTGAACCTTGCAACATCAGTCCCCTTCCTTTACTGTTTATTTGTCCCTACGCTCCCCCACAGCCAGCCATCCTTTGTGACCAATTGTTTAAAATGCTCCCGCCACTTCCATTGGTCACCTGATCATTGCCCCTAGCTCCATGAATCTGAGAAAGGTAAATAAAGATGGGTGGGGAAAGTCAAATTTTGTCTTGAAAATGAGGTGCAAATCTAGTAAATACCGGAAGAGTATCCTTTATGGCAGAAGACAAGCCTTCGGTTCATTTTGTTGTGCCCTCTGCATTAAAACAAACCATCTCCTTCATGTCTGACAGCCTCACACACAGCCTTCCCCGGTGGTTTGAATTATGTTTTTCAAGAGTGGGGATAAACGAACTACAGGCTGAGCCAGCTACCAGGAGGCTCTAGATTTCTTTATCACAGAGGTAGATATTCGAGAGATGATGATGGGAGACATAGAATATGCGGGCTTGAGAGAGACTCAATCCTTGCCCCTGGGGCCGCTTGATCTGACCCGTGAATGATCCAGCCCAGACTGCAGTCCTTCTTATCTGGGAGCTAATCCTTGAGCCCCACCATGGATTTGGGGATCTACTCCCATCCGCTAGAAGGAAAAGATAGCCATGAAAAGAATGCTGGCTTTAGAGCCAGAATGTCCTGGATTTGAACCCTAAGTAAACTTTGGTGATTTCCTTTCCCACTAACCCTCAGTTGTGTTCCTATAAAATGGGAACAGCAATTCCTCCCGTCTGAGGCTATTGCAAGGATTAGTATAATATACGTAAAGGTGGCACAGAATAATGAGAGTTCTTGCTGCTGAGGTTATTTCATGGCTATTTAGTGAAGGCCCTGAATTTTGTTTCTTAGAGGCTTAGACTGAATGAAGGCCTGGGCCAAGGGTAGCGCTCATCACTTTATTTCTACTCGAATGAAATAAAACTCTCCCATAGAATTTAGATGCCAGAATGGGGTAAACTTGCACAGAAAACCTCGGTTATCCACAGCACATAAGGAATGAGTCATTTTGAATAATTATATTTTCCAGATAGTTTGAGGTTTACTTCTTTAAGTGTCTAAGATATTTTCTTTTAATCACTTTGGGTATAAATTTTTCTAAATGTTATGCTTCCCAGACCTTCTCAGTATTTTTTTTTTCAATGGCACCAGGCTTTTCATAAAGCAGCATTCTAATTTGTCCATTGCCTGAATCACGGCGTCTAAAAGAATGTTCTCAATCTTTAAATGCACACTGAAGCATTGAATGGAGAGGAAAAGAGCTGTTCAAAAAAATAAGTAACCAGGGAGGATTTCATGAGCACCCAAATGGGTGACTGAAGTGGCTCTCTATGGAATTTCACTTTTCCAAAGCTGGTGTGCACCATTTTACATTTGAAGAAGAAAAAAAAATACTGAGAGCCTTTTGGCAAATAATGAGTTCATCAAGACAAGAGCAAACAAATTACAAAGCTGACTATGGACTGGGCAGGAAGTGAAGGGAACTGGAGAAATACAAAATGAAGGTCCACCCTCGTGTAGAGGGTTTCTTCTAGCAAGAGGCTGAACAAGAGCTGTTTATGCTCCAGCACAGTCATCCTTTCTGTCTGTTTCTACTCCTTTTAGTTTAGAGTTTTAACTTATTTTTATTGCAAAGTCAAAATTAGATTTACCAAAACTGCATTTCATAAGTGCTTCCCCTAAATATTAGCTGTTTATATTTCATGCCTCATATTGTGCAGGTTGCAAAATCAAAGAGACAACTTGCCTATTTTATTCTAAAGGTAAAATAAAATACTTTGAAGTGAAAAGAAAATAAGCTTTGGTAAAATTACCCCAAAACTGTGTCATTAGTAATCCTCACTCTGTATAATTACAGGAGGATCTATCCCCTTGCACAAATCTATATGGTTTACTATTTGTTTCAAGAAGCCCATAATTCACCTTTTAGTAGTAAACTTAATTGAAATTATTCATTCAATCATTTGGAATTTATCTTATATTCAATATATGAATCTGAAATTCTCAGTAACTTACTTTGGTCAACTAGCTGGACATTTAAAAATCACTGTGTTCAGATAAGCCTGGATGTGAAACCCTGACCATTGAAAAGAAGTCTGATACCATCAGAAAAGCAGTCACCCTGCTCTGTCTAGCACTGTTATAGCCTGTCAGGGGATTCTTACATATTTATATTGCTTAGTTCTTCTTATAGAGGAACAATCTGTCTAACTGTGGCGTTTCCACTGAAGTGGTCCTAGAAAAAAATCTAGAGATGAAATCAATCACAACCAGGGCACCAGCATGTACCCTACTATTACCAGGCTGTGAGTCCCTCAGGCTCTTAGGCTGCCTTCTCTATGTTTTTGCCCTGGCACCCAGCACAGAGCCCGGAACATAGATGGTGCTGCTGGTGCTGCTGGTGATGGTGGTGGTGATGGTGGTGATGGTGATGGGGTGATGTGATGATGGTGACGATGATGATGGTGGTGATGGTGATGAGGTGATGTGATGGTGATGGTGACGATGATGATGGTGGTGATGGTGATGGTGGTGATGATGATGGTGGTGATGGTGATGGTGATGGTGGTGATGGTGGTGATGATGGTGATGGTGATAATAGTGATGAGCATGATGAAGACAATGATGATGACAATGACAATGGCGATGACTGAACTAAATGGAGAGACTAGGGCTGGATTAGAAAGTAGAGATTACATGTTATTTAACCCTTGCTCTGAAATTTACTAATTTCACTGGTGATTGTGAGCTATCACCTAATCTTATTACCAGTGTTTACCACCTTTAGAATACAGCTCCACCTTAATCTCTCTCACATGTGTTCAGAGAACTCAAGAGCACTTTAAGATACATCTTATCAGAAGTAAGACATACGGAAAGAGGCTGTGTCAATTGTAAAATGGCTGGGAAAGGAAATGACAGGCCTCCACAGCCCCAGTTAGGTGCCAGGCATTTTGCATATATTTTCTGGTTCTCATAACCCATCAAAAATGATAATATTATTGCTAGAAAAAGGATGATGGTAAGTTATGAATGAGAAAACTCAGACTAAAAGGGAGCTTAAGAAACTTTCCCAAATTCACACAGTTAGCAAGTGATACAACCAAGAAATTGCAGTTCTGACCCCAAAACTCATGTGCTTTCTCCCACAGTGTAGCAGGAAAAAGTATCATTTATCACACAATCTCACAAATATGTAATTAACACTGTGATGAATGCTGTATGTATATAATGCTGTTACATAGGTGTATATACCTACATATCGTATAGATGATATGCATACACATCCATACCTATATTGGGTTATATACAATTAGTGATCAGGGAATGAGTAAGCTGACATTTAAGCTGATATCCGAAGGACGGGCACACACTTAACCCAAAGAAAGGAAGAGCTTCAAAGTTCTCTCTCACCCTACAAAGAATATCACATCCTGTCCTTTTGAGAGCTTGTGAACGTGATGGAAAGACCACCATTTTCTATATATGTAGGGATCCCCTGTGCTATTTTAACAGTGGGAACAGTGCAAGGGTCGTGTCCAGAAACATCATTTTTCAGCTTTACGAGGCCACAAAGCATGAGGCATTGACTATAGGCCGGCTTGCTCCATCGAGACAGACCTAGTCAGCAACTTGCCATCCAAGTTCCAATCAACAGACAAGATCTGACCCGAGAGGGCAGCTCTCCTTATCAGTCCTGCCTGTGCTTTGCAACAAAAGCTGTTTTGCAACTTGACAGAGCTAATCCTTCCTGTTTAGTAGGAGAGGCTCTTCATAAACGCTTTTGTTTGTTCTTATTTAGACTGGAACAGTATTACTCACAGGAAGTTATTGAAGCTTTTACCATTTTTCAGCTCTTGATCATTGTAATACTCAAATCCTTTTTTATCAACAGAGTAAAATTTCATCCTATGGAAAATATTGGTTATCAATATCAAACTATCTTTTGGGGAAAAGCTACAACAGGATCCCATGTTAAGCTTTTTACTAACGCAAGGGTCACAAACTCAGATGCTTACAGTAGCCAGGAGGGTAATTTAAGAACAAAATAAGTCCAGTAGGGACTGGTGACCAGAGAGCCAGTGTGCTATCTGAAGTGAGCAGTGAGGACTCAGGTCCAGCCAAATTCTATGCAAGAGTTTGGTCCAGTGGCACCAGATCTCCAGGCTTTGTTTGTTTTTTAAGAGGAACCAGCAATCTGGGTTCTTATATAATATCTCCATAGTGTTATTCTTGGAATTTAATCTGTTTTAATATCAGGCAACCCTAACAAAACACACCCATGAGCTAAGACTTGATGACCTTGGTTCTAGCCCATAGGACCTTACATCCTGAGATTTCCATAAACAGTCATTGGGCATCTTGCCTGAGCCAGGTACTGTGGACGGCACCAGAGATGATGCTAAGACAAACACAGTGACATTAAGGTGTTCACACTCTGCACATATTATGTGCCGGGTGCAAATGATTCTTATCTAGTGGGACCAAGTGAATCTAATCATATAACGTCACACATATTTTATCATGAAAAAGAAAAACACGTCTAGCACACTCAGAGGTCAGGGAAGCAATAAGCTTACATTTCAGGTGACATCTGAAGGGTGAGCTTGCATTTATCCAGAGGGAGAAAGGAAGGAGCACTGGTTTTTTGTGTGTTTGTTTGTTTGTTTGTGTTTGTTTGTTTGTTTTAGCTGAGCCATCCTGCCATCTGTTGGCAGCTCAGCGGCTGCTCAGCTCAGGCCGGGAATTAAACCGGCGACCCTGTTGCTCAGAGCTCGCACTCTTGAGCGAGCTCTTAACCAACTGAGCCACTCGGCCGGCCCAAGGAGCACTCTTGGCAGAGGGAACAGTATCGGCAAAGACCCTGAGGTAGGCTGGGACTCAGCGAGTCCAGGAACTAAAGGGGCCCGAGTGGCTGGCACACAGCTTACAAAGGAACGGGCCCCACAGGGGGAGAGCGGAGAGCGGAGCAGGCCACACCTGCATTGTGCTTCCTGTGCAGATTTTGGGAAATGAGAAGCCATGGTCAGGATTTCAAACAGGAACACGGCAAAGTAAGGCCTGGGATTTTAAGGGCTCGTTCTGTCTACAGGGTAGGAAACAAAGCAAGGAAAACAGCCAGCAGTGGAGATAAAAAGGAATAAAAAGAATACGCAAGTAATCCAAAAATCCAAAAGAAAGCAGGAAAGAAGAGAAAATAGGACAAAGACCACACTGAACAGACAGAAAACAACAGCAGCGTGGTGTTAACCCGCCCACATCAATGGTTACATGAAGAACAAAAGGGAGGAACATTATAACCAGGAGGCAGAGCGTAAGACGGGATAAAAAGCAACACCCAACTGTGTGCTGGGCTCAAGAAACCCACGTTAAATTGAAGACAAGATAGGTAAAAAGGAGAGGGTAAAAAAGGATATACCTCACTAAAACTAATGAAAGACAAGAGGCTATAGAATCTATTATTCCATTTTTATGACATTATAGGAAAACAAAATATAGTGACAGAGGGTGGGGAAGGCATCGGCTATGACTGGTACAAGTGATGAAGTTTGGGAGTGACGGATAGAACTGTTCTGTACCTTGAGTGTGATGGTAGCTATAGAACTGTATACTTTTTGTCAAATCTCCGCAAATATTATACTTAAAACTGGTGGATTTTACTGTATGTAATTTATACCTCAATAAAGATGGTAAAGGGGGGAGAGGAGAAAGAGAGAGAGAGAGAGAGAGAGAGAGAGAGAGAGAGAGAGAGAGATTGGAATATAGAGAAGAAAAGGAAGAAAAGGAACAAGAAAAGGGAAGGAAAGGAAAAAATTTAAGCATTTCTGCTTCAAAAAGCACTCACTTCAGTAAGAATACTTTCCACTGGCCTTTTGCCCCATCATGTAAAACATTTTAGCTTTCTTTTTTTTTTTTGGTCCTTATTGTCTGCCCACATCCACACTCTGATGGCCTCACTTTCACCTCAAGGAATTTATCAAGCTGTTGCACCAAATAAAGATAACTGTACCCCAAAGAGAAATTCTGGCGCCAGCTGATGATGGTGTAACTTTCACCCAATTAAATGGGGAATGCCTCAGACAGGAAGCTGTGCATCCACTCGGCTTTCTACGACTTCTTGACCTCACTTGCTCCATCACTGGCCACTTCTTCCTTTCGTTGTTGAAAGCCCCACCCAACCCTCTGCATTTCTTAAAAATCTTCAGAATGTCAGTTCCCTCTCTTCAATATGAAAGACCAATTTCTACATCCTCCCCCGCTCTCCCACTAAGCAGAGAAAGATGCGTGTACGTAGCAGTGCGAATGGTGGGTCTTTGGGTGCAGAAAGGACAGAAGCAAGACATCGAAACTCCAGCGGGCGGACGCATCTCACACGCTGGACAACAGGCTGCATCTCGAAGCTAGCTTCTGAGACCGGGGAAGGAGCTGGGATAATCAGAGGGTGGAGACGTGATAAAGGGATAAAACAGGACTGAGGGTGGCTGCAGTTGGAAAGAAGATGTGAAGCACTTACAGATCAAAACAAAATTATATGTAAACAGTTCTGAGCATAGTTACATCCCATGCTAATAGGCAGTTAAAATAAGATGTCTTGTCAAGAACGTCCGAGAAAATATAACCCATTGTCATAATCTGAGATGATTTACTGATCAAAGGTGATTCAAGTCTCTGATTGTATTGAAATAATCATTATTTAGAGACCCTGGAAAATTAACTTGCTAAACCTTAAATAATGTACTAGAACTACGCTTCTTCTTCACTTTAAATCGCCATGGACTCAAGGCCTTTATGATTACGTAGACATAGCAGGGGACACGTGAATCTTTCCAAATAATGGAGGTTCACTACAGAAAGTCGTATGTGTCTCTATAGAGATGCCATGTTCCCCTGTGATGAAAAGGCAGTGCTCGCCAACTGTGCAGACATTTTCATGGCTTTTCCTTCTCCAGGTGCTTCCTACCCTGACCATACGTGCCCCATGGAGAAGATGGATGACGCCATAGCGCCAGGCCGAGAGCACACCTATGAGTGGCACATCAGCGAGGACAGCGGGCCCACACCTGATGACCCGCCATGCCTCACATACATCTATTACTCCTATGAAAATCTGATACAGGACTTCAACTCGGGGCTGATTGGACCTCTGCTCATTTGTAAGAAAGGTAAAAAAAAAAAAAAAATCCACTACAGCCAAGATGCTGGAGTGCTAAGGAGTGCTCTAATGCAGGGAGGCCTGGGAGAACCTTGGAACCTTCTGTAAATCAAGCAGAGGGAGAAGGGGGCGGAAGCCAGCCCGCTGCCCGACACTGGCATTGAGGGCTGGGGATCCTGTGTCTTCCAATCCCTCCCTAGTCGTGGTCCTGGAGCCGCTCCCGAGTAAATAAATAATCCCTGTCTGGAAGCAGTTCTGATGCCATGCCTGTATGGTCCCTAATGTTTACCTCAAGGCCGAGGGTTTCTGAACGTGGCGTACAGGAGCCTTCACTCTGCTGAAAGTACTTGGAAAGAACCCTGACTAACATGTCTGAGGTTTGGGTTGGTAACTTGGTCCACAAACACACAAAACTCTAGCTCACTTCCTTATGAAAGGGCTGAACACTTTGGGTGGTAGGTTTCAAACACACTCAGCTGACTTTTTCAGAAATTTCATTGGCTGGGCTTCTTTGGAGCAAGCTCGGACTTTCATTTTACCTCAGAAGAATTCAGCTCATGTCTCGTTAAAACAAACCAACGACCACAACGAACCACACTGTGGGAAATCACGCGATGGAGTCACCACCTGCCTACCCATACACGCATACTACCCCTACATAGATTCCGAATTCATTTGTTCACTACACAAATACATATTTTCATTGCCTGGTATATAGAAGAGAGTATGATGGCATGAAAAAGTTAAAACTTATAAAAAGCCCTTCTTTCATTTTACTCCGGCTGCATTTTTTTCCTCACGTGAGAACGGATTGATCCTGACCCTCTCAGTCAGTGCTAGCGCCCCATGATATGTACACACAAGATGGCTGAGCTAAACTTGGAGCGTGATGCTTTTACCAGCCGAGCTATGGTACCTGTGGCTACATAGCAGCCAACCAACACTGGGGGAAATGGATACTTTTACTAAAGCCTTGACAGTCACTGACTTTTTTTTTCTCTCTGTGCTAGATCAAATTTACCTTGAAAGCCCCATTCCTCAAGGCTAGGGGAGGGCCCAGAGAAAACACTTCATGGGGCACCAAGATTTGCATAATCCTCCAATCATCACTACTTGATAAAGATGCTATTTCTTAAAACAAGAACTTAAAGTTGGTTTCAGAATTGATTGGCTGTTTGCCGTAAACGCTTGGCTTTCTAGGAACAGCAAATGAGAGTCTCCTCTCTGGGATGCTATTGACAACTCTTTCCTTGCCCAGGCGTTTTAGCAGAGGATGGGATACAGAAGATGTACGACAAGCAGCGCGTGCTGATGTTTGCCGTGTTTGACGAAAGCAAGAGCTGGAGCCCGTCGTTCTCCCTAATGTACACAGTCAACGGCTACGTGAACGGGACGATGCCAGGTAACCCACCCGTGGGCTGGGCCCCACGCAACCACAGTGGAACCATCAGTACATTTGGTCCTGCCATTTTCCCCAGGGCACTAGGGAAGGTGACCATGCTCACTGTTTCAACTCTTAATCAGGAAGGTAACATAATCTAGCGCAGTGGTTCTCAAGATTCTGGCATCTCTTTTATGAACCGGCAAGTACGACAGACAAATTTGAAGCTGCCTACGTGAAGGCATGTACCGCCTTAGGAGGTGCAGTGCTCTGAGCAGGTGTCATCTTGAGCTGCATCTCCAGGAACCTCCAGGATAGCAGCTCAGTCTCTTTCGGTGTATTCTGGGGTCCTTGCTGCATGGTGACCATGCCTTCTTCCACAGAGGGAGCCTTACAGGTCAGAAGTTCAAGGTCAACCCCTAACCAAAAGGGCCAGGAGGAAGAATTCAGTAAAGACACAGTGAAGGTGACAGGCGCTTAGGAGAAATAGCCAACATCCAGAAATACTAGTGGCATTTCAAAAGGTGATGGGTGAGTGATAATCCAAGGCATGTAGGATGTTTTCTCTTACCATTTGCATGTGGATGCTTGTGAAAAAGCAAAATCATAGCAACTGTTAAGAGAAAAAAAAAACAACTGACTTCCACTTAAACCACTTTTACTCCTATCTGATAGAAATGCCTTAGAGCCAAAGATTCTGAGGAAAACAAATGGAAAAATGAAAACATGACTTTATTAAATAAACCACTTAAAACACTAAGCCTCTCAGAGGTCATTCTCTACATCTGAAAATCACAAACGATTTCACTCACTAAAAACTTGTCCAGAGTTGAGGTCTGGACATTGCTTGTACACTGTCTTCTAGTTCATTCGACTCCATCCTCCTGCCTGCTTTTCCCAATCACACTCAGATGACTCTGGGCTTTGGCTCAGAGTTCTGAAACTTAGCTGGCA